GTCAATTAGGCGGTACCACCGCTAGTCTAACACTAACACTGGGCAATACCACCGCTTGACATAGTCTGAGAGACTGTGTCTGGACGATACCACCGCCAGACCCTCTCTATAGGACACTGAATGGGCCAAACAATAGGCTCAAATCAGCCCTGATTCAGGCCCAATTGGCCTCTTATTGAGTTGGCATTGTTTCATCCCAAAACAAACTCAATTAGTCCTAAACTAACTCGATCTAGACACAATTGATTACAAGCATGAATCCTATGTTGTCCGACATGTCATTGTTTCAGTCGGCGTTTCATCCGATCCTTCGGTGCATCGTCCTCTCCTTCGGCGTATTGCTCAATCGGCATGTTAAATCCCGCAACTTCCGATCTCCTTAGTGCGATGTCCTATCCTTCGGCCCGATACTCGAACTCATTGCACGAAGCCTTCTGCCGACACATCGACCGATCTTGCGACTCGACATCCAATCTCCTGACATGTTTTCCTCCGGCCCAATGTCCGATTCTTCTTGCTTTAATCGATTTGCCTTTTCTGATCGAAGTTAGTCTTGCGTTATTCAAAACGCAGATTAGATCATAACTTCATCAATTGATTTCATCATCAAAATCCGAGATTCAACAAAAGAAACCTTATCCAGAGTCTTTCAAGGCCTTGTTTCGCTTGAGTATCTAGGTAAGCACCAGGATTCTTCATAATAACACTAACTTCTACACACACGCACATATATTCGCTTGAGTATATATATATATATATATTCTCCTCCCTTTTTCTTGTCATTACTCATTATCTACGTCTATTTTCTCTTCTATCTACTGCTACTTGAATCAACAGCACGTTGGTAATTATTTTCAACTCGTTCAGTCCAAAATTTAAATTATTTGTATCAACTCAATCACTTTTGCCCTAAAATAAGTAAGCCAATTCAATGTGCACCAAGGTGTAACTCAATAGTCCATTGTAAGTACAAATTCATCTTATCTCACTGGCAGGTGTGTTTAAGATAATACTGGAGCATGCACCACAAACCATGTTCTAATTGATCTCAAAAGAGTTCCAGAAGTGCAAGATGAAATCACTCTGTGCAAAAAGAACACGTCGTCTCATGATAAAAACACCTTAACAATAAAAATTGGAGGATTATGTTTTTCCTTTGGTTATCCATTCTATTGATTCTTTTTTCCGCTATTATCATATAGTGCTAGAACAACTGGAGAAAATAACCCAAACAATGATTTACTCCCCTTGTACAGGGAGAAATTCAGGATGCAAGATAAGAAACCAACCGGGGAATGAGACTGTATCCAAATCGAAATAGGCCTCTCAGGATTATCAGCTGAATAGGGATCGTCATATAAGAGATTTGGTACCACGACAAAGAAACCTGAGGTGGCAATTTTATCTGCAATTTTCCTTTACAACCAGACATTGCAAGTGTAAACATTAAAAGTTCACAAAATCTTTAATGCAATATAAGGAAATAAAATGAAGATGTAAATGTAGATAAACAACATAAAACAACCAACAAAACATCACCAACCATCAGAAAAAATAATACAGAATCCTAGGATTATCTCCAATCCAAAATATAAATTTTGTTTGAAATGACCAAGAGTTCACAATGAAATATCATAATTTTGTAGCCTGGTGGTGTTACGATACAAACAATTGAAATGGGTTAAAACACTAAAAACCAACAAAGCAGTCCATGCTGCCTGCAAACAATGATGGTAGAACAGGCTTTGTGACAGTCCACCCTACTGGTTTATGAAATTAGTAATAGCAGAGATTATCGCATCCGTGTTCTGAATTTATTGGATAATATAAGCAAGAATACAGAATATTTTGGTAAGAAATAATAAGTTTCATGTAGAATTACAAACGATCAAACAGCCTTTCAGTGATATAAAGAAGATGATAGGGGAAAATAGACACTCGATATAACGTGAACAAGTACAAGACATAAATTTAGGGCCACAGTTGAACAGAATCAGTTCATCATATACAGAAAAGAGGCAGAGGCACCTATGATTAGACCAATCATAAACACAGCCAGCTAAAAAAAGTAAATAGGATGTCTTTCAGCTTTCTTAACTATCAGTGAGAATTGGGAACTACTTCGGCTTGATCATGTGATATGAGCTTATGATTCCACCAAATTAGCCCCTAGCACTGCCTAGCCACATATTCGACCACTCCATTGATCATTTGTCTTGCTATTTTGTTATTGAATATATATATTTCCAAGGTATTGTACGTTCATATACTTGGCTGTATAAGCTTTTTTCAGCTGAAAATATTAGTGCATGATCGATCAAAAGCTCATGTCTCATATTGCTAACAGTCTCACGTCAATTAATATTTTGTACCACCATCTGTTTAGGTCTTAATCATATGATTATTAATCCACCATACTGACCAAAATCAGAGAACTTTCAAGGTCAAATAAGTGCCTCAGGTCCTCCCCTCTGTTTGCTGTACTAAGAAAGAACCGAAATGGAGATCACAGACCACCAGCACGGTTTACCTGGAAGATGCCCTCAGAAGTTTCCTTCTAATGTCAACGTGGGCAAGCCAACAAAACACATGGAAGACAACCAAATCGGAAGTCACACAAGTCACGGCCTAAACACAAACGCCAATAAATGAAATCGGTACCTCAAATTCGGCGCTTCGAATCCTGCAAACATTCCATCGGACGAAGCATGTCAGCGACACAACCGTAAGAAAGAAAGAAAGCACAAAGACCGTAGAAACCCTTAGCATACACACGGACGGAAGGAGAAGCGGGAACGGGCAAGAGACGGACGGAAGCTTAAGAGAGGAGAAGAGTACATCACCGAATATGTCGGAGATGAGGAGAACGGCGAGCTTGGAGTTAGGGGAGCCGGCGGTGTACGCCCTGACGCCGCCGAGGTCGTCGACGACGATGCCGTCGCCACAGGCAGGGCTTAGAGTCGGCGGGTTGGCGCAGCACTGGGAGCTCGCCATGTTCATGGCTTCTTCTCTCGTCTCTTTCCTGTGACATTTGTGCCGAGGGTGGCGAGCAGTCCAAGGACGGCAATTTTATTAATTAAAATTTATAATTTTTTAAACTAAAAAAATTCATCAACCACCATTATTTTAAATTTAAAATATATATTATTATAAAAGATAAATATAAATATAAACTTTCTCACACTAGTTGGTAATTTGAACGTGCACAAAGATTATTGCGTTGCCCATGGAACTAAAATATATATGATGGAGCACAATTTGGTAACATGTCATTATCCCTGGTCATATCAGCATGAAGGATTACACGTCGAACTATACCTCCCAATCAATGCCATTATGTAAAAGTCGGATGATGCTAATCGAGTATGGTACCGTCTCGTGACGATTGGGTTGACGTCGATCAAGGATCACGTCGATCCGTAAGAGTCGGGACGACACCGACCAAGTACAACATCACCACACGAAGATCGAGTCGGCATCGATTGAGGACAGTGCCTTCCTGTAAAAATCGGGTTAGCACCGACCAAGTATAGCACCGACAATCATAAATATGATAGGTACGACTAGTCTCCTAACGGAAAGATAAAAACCACACATGGGGTTGGGAACAAGGGTCTTTAGCTCATTTTTTTCACCCGGTGTTAACAAGATCTTTTGAAGGGTCGAAATCGAAAACCCCCTTTCCAACCCCGACCTGTATGTAGGGATCGAAGATAGAAAGGCAAGCGGCCAGCCAATTGAAGCTTTCAGGAATGAAAATATATGATATTTATAATCCAACTCAGATCTCAAATGTCACTAAACAAAAAAAATTTGAGATGCCGAGGTATAGAAATATATATTATCGTTAAATATCATAACGGTTTCTTTCGCAAACACTACACTGATACAAAAGGGAGTTTATAATTAAACTTATAATTTTCAAAACATGGAACTTGTGAAAATTATCTCTTTCCTCTGGCCATTGTCTTTCCACACAAGCATTCATAAATCTAAAAGAAAAATTATTTTTTACTTCTTACTTAATATCAGTTTTATTTTTCTTTTTTAGAAAACAAAATCACGGCATCCACCATTGTACGAAATGGCTACGCTTCACCACCATCGGCCCATTTCACTGTCGGTTCTCCCTCTTCTCTCCCGGCTGAGACCTTCTTCGGCTATCCCCGCAACGCTGTTCTCGCGCCCACCGCTCTCCGGACTGCCGTGCACTCCGATATCTGCTCGGGCCATCCGCGATAAGCGCATCCTTGGACCCGTCCGTGGATGCGCGACCTCAGATTCCGCGATTTCCCCCGGACCTCCACCCTCGTCGAGGATCTTTATCAAAGGTATTCACTTTGTATGTCTCGTCGGTTATAGAATGGATTCGAAACGTGTTCTTGCCATAAGAACCGGAAAGTATCAACGACCATCCGGTTGCAGTCATTTTGTTCGACGAATTGCCGTTCTGAAAAAGTAATGACTTATACACGTCATGACCTACACTATATCCTTGGAAAGTTGATTATAATATAGCATGCATGCATATTGCTTGAAATATGAAGATCCTCGCAATTTACCTCTCCTTTTAACATAAATTTGGGAAACTCAGGTGTTTAACCTATAGTTAGTTTGAAATTTTCTCTTGAAAAAAAAATTAAAATGGATAAAATTCTCTTAATACTTTTATTATCATTATAGTTTTACCTTACTGGTCTACCGCATAAAGCAAGTTTTGTAGTTTTGCAAGGACACACACACACACACACACACACACACACACACATATATATATATATATATATATATATATATATATATATATAT